CACCGTACCAGGTACTCATTTGAGGCAGAGTCGACCTAGGCAGGGGCTAACGGGACAGACCCAGGTGCCATGGGTCGACTGACTGAGATGACTGGCCGATGCACCACCTGTGCCCCCGACTGTGCCAACTTTCTGTGTTTTAGCACCCGGCGCTCCACTCGTTGTTGTGAGTTCCCCTGCCCTCCGTTGTTGCTGGAAGGCGACTACCTCCAATTGCCTAGTAGCGTCCTTCACGAGTCTCCTCCACAGAGGTCGATCTTGACACCGCTGGTACCAGTCATCGGCAAGTCCATTCAGCTCCACATCCTCTTGTACCACATCACTCCATCTCTTCTCTAACCCGAGCCGCGCCCGTTTAGCCCCCTCTATTCGGCCGAACAAAAGCTGTTTAGGCATGCAGGTGGCTGGGCATGCGGGCTACATTACCCAGCCAACGCAGCCTTGCCTGCTAGAGGAGCTCACCGATGGGACTTTGTCTAGATCGTTTAAGGATTTGTGAGCCCCTCACACAATCCAGCCAGGTTAAACCCAGGATGGATCGTAGGCAGGGCAGCTTAAATGTTTCTAACCAGCGAAGATTTTCCATTAGGGAGGTCCACGTTTCGCAAGTATAGAGAAGGGAGGGCATGGCCGTGGCCGAGTGTGGAGCGAGAGACCAGGTCGCTTCCACATAGCGTTATGCAGCCGATGAAAAGATAATACCTCTCGACTGATTCGGAGTGAGACCTCTGCTGTTAAACCGGAGCCGGTCATGAGCACACTGCCCAGGTATGGAAAATTCTCCACTCTCTCCACAACTGTCCCATTACCAATGGGAATTGTGGGGGTGGAATGACTGATGCTACAAAATATCCAGAGAAGTGCTTAGTTTTGGTGGGGCTGATGGTAAGGCCCCACCTCTTAGTGGCACGCTCCAGGTTCAGCAGCAGCGCCTTCAACTCCTCCTCTGAGTGAGCAGCAATCACCAGATCATCAGCATACATAAAATGGTTGAGCAATAGGGAGCCATCCCTTGACCGCACCTGGGCATCGATCAGCCTCCCATTGTATCTGTACCAAATGGAAATTCCTCCGGTACAACCATCGAAGGCTTCACGAACTACGTGGTTCAAATAGATGTTAAATAATGTGGGAGTTAGAGGACATCCTTGTCGCGCCCCAAGGTGAACAGGGAATGGCTCCGACTCCCGGCCACGTAGTTTTACCCGGGCCTGCCCACCATCATGAAGGTCCTTAATGATTGTCAGCAGAAAGTCCGGGACTCTGAAAGCACAAAGAACAACCCAGAGCCCAGGCCTACTAATGGTATCATAGGCCATGAGCAGGTCAATAAAGCAGAGATGTCGGTCCTGTTGGAATTCCCTACACCTCTGCTGTAGCAGACGGACAGAAAAAAATAGCATCTATGCAGGACAGCCCTTTCCTGAAACGACATTGGGGCTCCGCAAGCCTCCCCTCAGCATGCCTGGCAAGGTGATGTTGAATGATCCTTGCCAGGACCTATCCCGCCACACTAAGGAGGGATATGTCCCTGTAGTTGTTACAATCTGTGCAGTTCCCCTTCTTAAACAGGGGGACCACCAGGGAATCCTTCCAATCCTGTGGAACCTGTCCAGTGGCCCAGACTGTTCTTATGATGTTATATAGGGCAGTCTGCGCACAAATTCCATCCTCCCTCAGCTTTTCTCAGCCTGCCAGAACACCTTCTCTGTCAGCCAGGGTGTCTAGGGAAGTTTGGACCATGCACCCAAAGCAGCCATTGCAGCTGCATGCGCCACACTCCTAAACTTCGCCCATTTCCCCTCGGCATCAGGAGCAGTGGGAGACGATGCCAACTTCAGTTGCAAGCGATGATGAAATTCTCGCTTGAAACTTTCACCAGCTAGCTAAGACCAGGCCACTGTGGGTTTGAATGGGGTCCTGAATGTACACCCACCACCGGAGTGGAAGATTGGCAGGGGCATCTTGCAGATGACAAGTTGATGGTCAGTGGGCAGATCAGCTCTACCGTAGGTCCTCGTGTCAAGAAAATGGGCCCGCATCCGCTGATCCGTCACTACATAATCCAGCAGATGTTCTTGCGTGGACCCAGCGTGTATCCCTTATGTCGTGTGGATGCGCCGATGCCGGAACAGCGTGTTAGTTATTACAAGCCCATGGGCTGAACATAAGTCTATCAGCCTCCTACCCATGTTATTGAGCTGATCTGGCCCATGCAATCCAATCTCTCCAGACCAGGTGGCAACATCATGACCCACTCGAGCATTCAAGTCACCTAACAAGATGACTCTATCCCGACGGGCCACTTTAGCTAGCACCTGTGACAGGAGGTCATATAAAGCATCTGACTCATCGGCCTTGCCTGCATCCCTCTACTGATGTTCATCTTCGGCAGGGGCATAAGTAACTATGACCACCACTCCTCCCCTCTGGTTGATGGGAAGGCAAGCCCAAAGTAGCTTACAGCTTCCCACACCTCACCGCCATGCTCCCATGCCCCCTGAATTATTTATCTTCAGAAGTAGAGCCACGTCCTGTTGTTTGGCAGTCTCCTGCCCCGAGTAGAGGACTGTCCACCCCTCATGTTGGCAGAGGCCAGAGCCAGTCCACCGGACCTTCTGAATGCTGCAGAGATCCAGGCGGTACCAGTCCAGCTCCAGACAAAGGAGTGGCAGCCACTCCTCCGAAGTGAGCGTTCAAACATTCCACGTGGCAACCCGGAGTGTTTTTTTGCAGTCCAGCAAAACAACCCCCTACCTCTTCGTTGGTGCTGGATGGGAACGCTGTGGTGAGCATTGCCATGGGGGGAGGGCCAATTTAGATTGGCTACTCCCCTCATGGCGTTTGAAGCCACCGCAGCGGCCAAAAGGAGCTCTGGACTGGTGCGAGAGGCTGGTAACCCTCCACCTTCAATTAATTACCACAAAACCACGGAAAAAATAGAGCTAAGCTTGAACTGGAGGCCCCGGGGGACAAGCGTCTTTGACATCTCCTGGCCAAACCCTATTTTGCGGAGCCTGGAGACTGAATCTTTGCCCTTGGGGTTCCTCCAGAAACACACCTGTACACACACCTGTACACACACCTGTACACACACACCTGTACACACACACCTGTACACACACCTGTCCACACACCTATTACACACACACCTGTACACACACCTGTCCACACACACCTGTACACACACACCTGTACACACACCTGTCCACACACCTGTACACACACCTATTACACACACACCTGTACACACACCTGTACACACACACACCTATACACACACCTGTGTACACACACACCTGTAGTTGCACACATCATGACGAGCGCGGTACAACAAGTGGCAAGGTGGGCGTGGTGCTGGTCACGCACCCTCTCGTGTGCTGTGCCGGTCTTCACAGGTGCTACTCGCTATCAGAAATTGCCCCAACAGTCTGTTACAGGCTACACGGGGCGTCTATGTTGTTTGCAGGGCGTTGCAATAGCAGTGCGGGTATACGTGGGTCGTGGGGAGCGGTGGTGCAGTGGTTAGCGCGCTGTGCTACGAACCCGGTGACCCGAGTTTGATTCCCGCTCACGGCCACCAACACCAGTGACGATTATCTGAACCGGTCCTGGGCTATCCCCTAGGTCGACTCAGCCTCAAATGAGTTCTTGGTGCGATGTGCAAACATCGCCACTAGAGAGACAAAGGCGGCCGGGTGCGAGGTTGTCCTAACCACCCCCTCGTGAGTGAAGTGAGAGTGAGTGAGGCGTCTGTGTGGGTGAGAAAGGAGTGAGGCACGTGTGAGTGAGGAATGAGTGAGGAGTGAGTGAGGAATAAGTGAGGTGTGTGAGGAATGAGTGAGGAGAGAGTGAGGTGTGAGTGAGGTGTGAGTGAGGAATGAGTGAGGTGTGAGTGAGGTGTGAGTGAGTGAGGAGTGAGTGAGGAATGAGCGATGTGTGAGTGAGGAATGAGTGAGGAGTGAGTGAGGAATGAGTGAGGTGTGAGTGAGGAGAGAGTGAGGTGTGAGTGAGGTGTGAGTGAGGTGTGAGTGAGGAGTGAGTGAGGAATGAGTGAGGAGTGAGTGAGGAATGAGTGAGGAATGAGTGAGGAGTGAGTGAGGAATGAGTGAGGAATGAATGAGTGAGGAATGAGTGAGGAGTTAGTGAGGAATGAGTGAGGAATGTGTGAGGAGTGAGTGAAGAATGAGGAATGAGTGAGGAATGAGTGAGGAATGAATGAGTGAGGAATGAGTGAGGAATGAGTGAGTGAGGAATGAGTGAGGAATGAGTGAGGAGTGAGTGAGGAATGAGTGAAGAATGAGTGAGGAATGTGTGAGGAGTGAGTGAGGAATGAGTGAAGAATGAGTGAGGAATGTGTGAGGAGTGAGTGAGGAATGAGTGAAGAATGAGTGAGGAATGAATGAGTGAGGAATGAGTGAGGAGTGAGTGAGGAATGAGTGAGGAATGAATGAGTGAGGAATGAGTGAGGAATGAGTGAGGAGTGAGTGAGGAATGAGTGAGGAATGAGTGATGAGTGAGTGAGGAGTGAGTGAGGAATGAGTGAGGAATGAATGAGTGAGGAATGAGTGAGGAATGAGTGAGGAGTGAGTGAGGAATGAGTGAGGAATGAGTGAGGAGTGAGTGAGGAATGAGTGAGGAATGAGAGAGGAGTGAGTGAGGAATGAATGAGTGAGGCATGAGTGAGGAATGAGTGAGGAGTGAGTGAGGAATGAGTGAGAAATGAGTGAGGAGTAAGTGAGGAATGAGTGAGGAATGAATGAGTGAGGAATGTGTGAGGAATGAGTGAGGAGTGAGTGATGAATGAGTGAGGAATGAATGAGGAGTGAGTGAGGAATGAGTGAGGAGTGAGTGTTGAATGAGTGAGGAGTAAGTGAGGAATGAGTGAGGAATGAATGAGTGAGGAGTGAGTGAGGAATGAGTGAGGAATGAGTGAGGAATAAGTGAGGAATGAGTGAGGAATGAATGAGTGAGGAGTGCGCCCCCAGCCCGCCACTCACACCAGCTGGAGCCCGTCCTGCCCAGGAACTGCCGCGTCTCGGGGTTCCACACGAACACCTTCCAGCTGGTCTTCTCTCCCGCGAAGCGATTAGCTGGGTCCATGGCAGCAGCGGGAGCGGCGGCGGCTCTTCACAAGCATCACCAGAACATCGGCATCATCATCGGCATCACCATCATTATGGGCATCACCAACATCGGCATTATTATCATTAGGTATCATGATCATCGGTATTATCCATTATTGGCATCATCATCCGACATCATCATCGGCATCATTATCGGAATTATTATGGGCATCATCATCATTGGCATCGTCATCGGTATCATCATCATCGGCATCGTCATCGGAGTTATTATGGGCATCATCATCATTGGCGTCGTCATCATTGACATTATCATCGGCATCATCAGCAGCAGCATCACCATCATCACCATTAGCATCATCATCAATATCATCAGCATCACCATCAGCATCACCATCAGCATCACCACCATATATCACCATAATCAGCATAATCATCACCAACATCACCACCAGCATCACCATCAGCATCACCACCATATATCACCATCACCATAATCAGCATAATCATCACCAACATCACCACCAGCATCACCATCAGCACGAAGCACGCAGCGATGGCGCCACACAGTAGTCGCATCGAGTTTGTTGCTTAGTTGCAGAGCTTCGCGGTTCAAACGTCGGCCTCCCTGGTAAATAACACTGACGGTTTATTTCAGCTTTGAATAAAGATAAACGCGCCCCATCTGCTTCCCGGAGGACGTTAAAGATCCCGTGACGTAGGCCATCGTGTGCCGGCAACTCGCTCCAATTTTGCCAAAATGATTCTCAAATGACTCACGTGGGAGAATCACATCCCAGCAATCATCGCAGCCCGCCCCCCTCTTGGCCTTGTGACTTTGTGTCACCGCACAGGGACAGCTGCCGTCAGGGGGTCCCCTAGGCTTTACAAAAAAACAAGCTTGAAACTGAGATGCGATGCGCTTTGATTTGCTGAGACACGTGCAAACACGTCCCATACGCACGCGCCTCGTAAGCTTGGTCATCATAATTACAGCTCCCTCACCAACGCTAAGCCCCACCCCCGTTCGTTGTCAATCCACCGCTGGATGAAGGCCAGTTCAGGTATCACCAGCCAATGATGTGAGCCAGTGTGGTAACCACTGCGCCACCGCTCCTCGCGCTCAGTCTGGTCAATAGAAACATCATCAGTAGCAGCAGCATAAGAAAAAGCTGCTGCTGATGATGAAGCAGCCCGTCACAAAATCAGGCCGGAACGCGACCCGATCTCAAAAACTGAGCTGGGATTTGAGCCTGGATAGTTGCTGGGTTGGGTGGCGGCCGTGATGGCTCTGACATGGCCCTCGTGAACCCCAAGACAAAGAGGCACCCACGTAGAGGCCAGGCGACTTGAACCGAGGAAGTTTTAATTGTGTCCGACCTGGCCATTATGAACCCTCTGAGTGAGAGAAAGGAAGGGGGGGGGGGGGGGCAGGTCCGTGACCAAATCACCCGGAACGCGCCACGCTCTCGCCGGAGCACCTCAAGCGATAATAAAGAGGGCACGTGGAGCCAGGGCGGGTCGCTGTTGGCCGGGCGATCGCAGCGCGCGAGACAGGGGATGCACGCAGCAGACGGCAGGCAGGGGGCAGTGCAGCAAATAGGATTGTTCTTTCTGGCCCTCCCCCCACTTATCTCCAGACCCCCCCCTTCCCCCCCACCAGTCTGCACCGACCGACGTGGTGAAGTATGGTCACGTAGCCGCGTACGGCCCTCGCGGGGTGGCGAGAAATCCTCGACCGGCAGTGAAATCACAGACACGGTTCGTATGGCCGTATCAAACTAAATTATTTAAACTATTTTATTTTTTATTTTACCAGGTAGGGCCCACTGAGCGATATAAATGGGGTTTTTTTCAGAAACGACCTGGCCACAAATGATAGCTCAACGAAGTGGCTCATCATCATCACGTGGAAATGTATAGCAGCCAAAGACTCTAAACGCGCGATTATAAATGTGGAGGGAAAAACCGGAGGAGCCGGAGAAAAATCTACGCGACTACGGGGAGAGAGACACGCAAACTACAAATATACAGCAGCAGCAGGCATCAGAGTCGGGATCGAACCCACGACCTCCTGTATACCAGGCGAGGTAGTTAACATCTCCTAGTCACCGTGGTGATAATGAAAGAGAGAGACGCAAACTCCAAATATACAGCAGGCGTCATGGTCGGAATCGAACACACGACCTCCTGCATACCAGGCGAGGTAGTTAACATCTCTTAGCCACGGTGATGATGATGAAAGAGAGAGACACGCAAACTCCAAATATACAGCAGGCGTCAGGGTCGGGATCGAACACACGACCTCCTGCACACCAGGCGAGGTAGTTAACATCTCCTAGCCGCCGCTGCGTCTCGTCTGTACGTTGACGAAAACGAGCATCGGGCGCGATTCACAGCCCAGCGTCCCCAGCGAATTTACCGTTGCACTGAATGTCGGGGACCCGTTCAGATATCTCACTCGCCACTGACGTTAGCCGTGGCCCGGGAATTGAACCCAGGTCCCGCGGGGTTCTCAGCAGCAGCAGCAGCGCGGCGTGCCAATAGACGCTGCGTCACCGCTGCGACCCGCGTCTCGTTTAACCGAACATCGACCGCGGTCAATCCACTGCTGGATGAATGCCCAACGCACGCCCGCGTAATCCACGTGGACATTACATTCACGCAGGCGATCTCGCATACATACGTACATTATATGTCTAACATCTGTATTTTAAAAGAAATATTTACATGTCAATATTGCTTGCAGACTCGGATCGACATTTATGAGAATTAATCCCTGTCTTAATTATGAGTGGTTAACAGGTGTGTGCTGCTCTTGCTGATGATGATGCTCAAGGTGATGGTTTTGCCGCTGATGATGGTGGTGGTGACCTTGACGGTATTGGGGTGCTCGGCACGATGCTGCTGCTGCTGATGCCACTGCTGCTGCTAACTGCTACTGCTGATGATGCTGCGATCACTGATGGCGCCTCTGATGTTAATTATACTGCAACTTGATGCTGCTCATACGACTGATGTTGCTGATGATGATGGTGATACGAATACCACTCACTAGCCATGCAACAATAGTGTAACCTGATGCTGCTGCTGCTGCTAACCACGCTATTGAGAATGTTATTACTGGTCCTCCGACTGATGCTGTTGTTGTTGATGATGATGACGCTGTTGTTGTTGTTGATGATGCTGTTGCTGTTATTGCGTAGCGAGTACCTGAGCGTGCGTGGGTGTAGATGAGGCGCTGGTCGGAGCGAAGGAGAGAAGGAGAGAAAGACTCTCGCCTACCGGCTCGGCTATATAAACGAGGGACCGTGTGGGGGGTGGAAGGGGGGGGGTGTACAGGGGGAGTGATGAACGCGGCCGTGGAGAGGGGGGGAATTGAGGGGAGGGGTGGCGTAGAGATGGTGAGAAAGGGGGGGGGGGGTGATGGAGAACGGGGGAGGGGTGATGGAGTGTCTGGGGTAGCAACTGGTGAGGGGCGGGGCTGTCGCGAGAGGTGTGGGGGGGTAAGGGGTGCGCGTGTTAGTGGGGGAAGGTTTGATAGGGAAGAGGAAAAAGGGGGGGGAGGTGAGCCGGTCGATGGAGAGAGGGGAGGGGCGATGTAGTGGGGGTCAGAGAGGTAAGGGCGGGAGGTGGGGGGTGTGGGGGGTGTGGTGGGGGGTGTGGTGGGGGGTGTGGTGGGGGGTGTCTGCGGGGGAGATGGATGGCCGGAGGGGAGGGGGTCTGGGGTGTGGCTGTAAAAAAAGGGCGATAAGGGGTGGGGGGGAAGGGGGGGATCCCGGGACCGCTTCACGGCACTTTGTGCCCTTCCGAGGAAATGAAATTTAAATTGGAAAAAATCTAAACCCGAAAAAAATAGTTCCGTTTGAGATATTCGCTGCGTGCGTGCGCGTGCACGCGCGCGTGTGTGCGTGCGTTAACGTGTATGCAGGTCTTACTCAGCCTTACACGAGGGAGACAAAGGCGGCCGGGCGTGGTTCTGGTCACACACCACCCCCTCGTGTACCGTGCCGGCCTTCAATATGTGCTTGCTAAGAGCACTTGTCATAACAGTCTTTTAAAGGCTATGTGGGTAATCTTTATCTCTGTATCGTTGTGTGTGTGTATTGGTCAGCAATTCTAACCTGATTCATCTGACCTTGACCTCTGCCTAGGTCAACGTAGCCTAAAATGAATGTCACCTCTTACAAACAACAAAGTCAAAGCTCCCCCGTGTAGCCCACACAGGCTATTGGGGCAAGTGCTACCAGCGAGCACCTGTCAAGGCCCGGCACGGCACACGAGGGAGCGGTGTGGACAGAATAACCCCCGGCCGCCTTTGTCTCCCGAGTGCTGACGTTTACACATCGCACCAGGTACTCATTTGAGACTGAGTCGCCCTGGGGGAGGCCCGTGGACCAGCACAGATGCCACTCGCCATTCTTGTTCGGCGTGCTCGGGAATCGAACTCAGGTGGGCTGGTTGTAACGCAGCGCGCTGCTAACCACGACGCTACCACGGCTCACCGCACAGCCGCGGGTTCACCGCAACGTTCAGCGCAATGTTCACAGGACGTTCAACGCGACGTTCACCCGACGTTCACACGACGTTCACCACACCGTTCACCGCGACGTTCAGCGTGACGTTCACAACGTTGTATATTTGGAGTTTGCGTCTCTCTCTCTCATCATCATCACGGTGGCTAGGAGATGTTGACTACCTCGCCTGGTCTGCAAGAACTCCTGGGTTTGACCCTGACCCTGACCCCTGCTGCTGTATATTTGGAGTTGACATGTCTCTCTCTCTCTCCCCGTGGTGGCGTGGATTTTTTTTCCGGGTCGTCTAGATTTTCCTCTCCACATTTAGAATCAACGTCACGCGTTTAGATTATTTGGCTGCTATAAATGTCCACGTGATAAGCCACTTCGTTGAGCTATCACTTGTGATAGGTCGCTTCTGAAAAAGAGCTATACAGCTCAGTGGGCCTCACTCGGTCAAATAAAAATTGAAGTAAAAAACTAGTATGTATGTTGAACTTATTTCGCACCGTATGTAGCCAACCGTGATCATCGGAGGTACGGGGAAAGGACAACGGACTAAACACTAAACATAAGTTATAAAATAAATCAGTTTTTAATCTCGCTTTAAAAGTGCTTAGCTCTAGTGGCTTCCTAACAATCGGAAGGAAGATAACTATCCAGACGGCCGCAGCAGCGCGTCTTAAAAAACGCGCGATGCGTTGACCGTCTTCGTTCGATGTTCAACTAAAAATCCGCGTGGTGATGATGGCGTATGCCCCTTGACGAGATCAGCGAGGAATTGCGGTGCCCTCGTGGCCAAACACTTGGTGTGTGAGTGTGTGACGTAGCGCGACCTTATGGTGCATCCGTTCGACGCAGCATCGAGGTCGGCGGGCGTCGAGAGAGAGAGAGTGGTCTTGTCTTTTACGCGAGCCCGATAATCATCCGGTGGGAGACCCCCGCGCTGGTACAGAAGAAGCTCTCGCTGTGGCCGTCTCAAGCTGGACGAGGGCGGGCGGTGTCCCCGTGGCGGGCGTCAGAAGAAGACCGCTGGCCGGCCGTGGCCCCACAGAGCAGTCGCGCTAGCACCAAGGAGCCTGTTACCACTCATCATCCATACCCACAATTTGCCAGTCTTTTGCTTGCCAATCCACTGCTGGATGAGAGTCTCACACCGCGCCGTGTGTTGTCATGGTGAGGGCCGTGGGGGGTGGGGTGGGGGGGGGGTTGGCCATACTTCACCATTCGCTGGTCGGTGCGAGTTTCTGGAGCATAGTGGTACAGTACAACAATGGACTATGCTGCAACGCACTCTGGTACCCCCAGCACAGCTGTGTGTGTCTCTCTCTCAGGGGGTGTGGGGGGGTGGTGCTCTTCTCCTCCCTGTCTTGAGGTGCACAGTGGCCGTGCCAGAGCCAACACGCAGGCACACATCCCAGCAACTCAGCGCGCTTTAACCTGGTAATGTATTTATTTGTATAATTAAAAAATATATATATTCGTATATTTTCAAGTGATTTGTTTCCTATACGTTGCACTCCTGCCGTGTGTTTTGTTGAATCGTTTGTTGTTGTTGTAACGTTCCATCCCGCCCATACCGGACATCTGTGAAAAAACGAGCATCACCAACAGCTCATCGGATTCCTCCTCGAGTATAAATATTCCGACTCTGAACTATCCAGGCTCAGCCTCCGCTTAGCTTCCGAGATCTGGCGTGGCCCTGGGTGCATTCAGGGGCGAGTCGGTGATCGTCTTCATTGGCGCCTTCATAGGCGCTCGCTCAAATCACTTTCCCCCGTGAGCCCGAGGGAATCGTCCGTCCGCGCGATGAACGTGGCCTTGTCTGCCTTCTCACACCCCCACGGAAGGCGAGGGCACTGATTGACCGATGATGATCGTGATGATGATGATCGATTTATTGGACGCGTTGAGCACGAGACGGATTTCACGCGACGCGGGTACATTGAGGCTGACCCTCGGCCCTTCTCCTGTGAGCCGAGAGACCAAACAAACAGACTCCCGGTCAAACTGGGGGAGAGACAAAGACGGCCGGGCCTGGTGCTGGAAATCACCACTCGTGCGTCATGGCAACCATAGTAACGTGCTCGCTAACAGCACTTGCCCCCAAAGGGCCTGTTGAGGCTACACGGGTGATCTTTGTCTCGCATGTGTACGCACATGCACACACGTGTGCTCAGAATCCCATTAGCGTGGCGGGGGGTTTATTTATTTATTTTCGACACCGCCAGTGTCCTTGCGCGGAGGGATACACGGAGATAAGGTCCCACGTGCGTGAAGGGTCCCCCCGCCCCTCCCCCACGGCCCCGCCCCTCACCCCATGGATCCTTCGTTAGCCCCGCCCACTAAGGGGACACCGTGCCGGGAGGGGGGGGAAGGGGACGTTGCTGGATTTTTCGGATTATAAGACGCACCGGGAAAGTAAGGGGGCCGTCCATAAATGACGTCACGTGATTTTGGACGATTTTTGACCCCCACCCCCTTCGTCACACGGCGTCACGAAAAGTCAGACCCCCCCCCCAAATATGACGTCACAAAGCTCTGCCCCCCCCCCCAAACAAAAACATGCTTCAAATTGCTTTAAACTATTGTCATTGTAGTGCGTATTTAATGTGGCGCTGCACTCTGATGTTGTAGGAGAAAACATTTATTAAAAATTATATTTAATTAAGTAGAACGTGTTGTCTATATTTATTTAAAGTTGCGCATTTTGATGTGACGTCACATTACTAACCCCCCCCCTCGTCACTCATCGTCACAAATGTCTGACCCTCCCCCCAGGTGCATGACGTCATTTATGGACGCACCCCCAACTTATAACTAGGGGAATACTGCCAATCAATGATAATGAGGAGAGAGTTTGTAAAACTGTGGTTACATAATTGAGGCTTGGTTCCTTATGTAGCTTCTGCTAATCAGGCTCGTGAGAGGTGAAGCAGAACATGAATGCGGGCGCCACGGTGGCGAGGAGATGTTGACTACCTCGCCTGGTATGCAGGAGGTCGTGGGTTCGATCCCGACCCTAACGACGCCTGCTGCTGCTGTAGATTTGGAGTTTGCGGTGTCTCTCTCTCCGTGGCCGCGTTGATATTTCTCCGGGTCTTCCGTTTTTTTTCCCCCTCCACATTCTGAATCAACGTCACCACGCGTTTAGAGTCTTTGGCTGCGATATATGATAATTATGGCGTTACCCCGGGGTTCTGTGCTACCCCGGGGCATCGCCATGAGGTTCGTATGTCCACGTGATGACGAGCCACTTCGTTGAGCGAGCATGTGTGGGCCAGGCCGCTTCTGAAGACGAGCTATATACTGTAGCTGAGTGGGCTTTGCCTGGTAAAACAAAATACAAATTTAAACAAAAAAAATTGTTTACAAATGTCACAAAAATGAAAGCGGACCGCGTTTGTCTCGTCCAGGGACGACCATTAAAGCGAACCGTGTGACGTCACCGCGGTACCTACTTTAACGTCTGAGTGATGGTGATGCTGGTGATGATTGGTGTTGATGAGTGAATGTTACTACTGTTTATGCTTAGGTATTCATAATAATTCTGTGGTTACTGCTGCTGATGATTTTGTTGATGAGAATGGATGATGATGATGATGGTGGTGGTGTTATGATGTTAATGATTGTGTTGCTGATGGTGATGCTGTCGGTCATGGATGGATTATTATGTTTGTTAAGGGTTATAACGATGATGATTATGGTTCTGTTGATGCTGTGGATCATGACGATGATATTGATCGCGTTATTGATTATGTTTGTTGACGTGCAGGGGAAGGACACCAAACTAAATACAAAAAACTGTTCTTAAGGAATGAGT